TTGAGCCTCCCCACCCCCAGGCTCCTTCCCCAGGCCTGTAGAACCCCTGGCCTCCCTTCACTCACCTCCTCTGGAGCTGTACTTGAGAGTGGGGGTCCTCCTACCCCTGCCCACCTCCCCACCCCCACCCCAGAGGTGAGCTGACACCCTTACTCTCTCCTTGGCAGTTGCTGAGTGTCATGTCTCCCTGGGGTCAGCCTCTGATGCTTCGGGGTCTTTGCTCTCCTGATCCCAACACCCGTGGTTAGCGGCCAGGGCCTTAACTCACTGTGCACAGCCCAGAGCCCCTGGGGTACTGCAGGGGGCTCTTGCCGCAGTGGGTGGGGGACCATATAACATACAAGCCACGGAACATGTAACACGCTGTCCGAGGCCCACAGCTGCAGCCGTCCCTCAGGCAGAGTTAGAATGCACTGCTCTCACTGTTTCTACCTCCTTGAAAATTCTTAGAATTCTCAGTGGGGTGCTGAAATCAGAAAGGAAAATCCAGGGGAGAGACTCTGCGTGGCCGCGCCCCAGACAGGGGCCTCACGGCTGGGGATGGCCTGAGAACGGCCAGGGACCCTGGGCTGCTCCTCCTCAGGCCCTCAGTTTGCCTGCCTTTCCCGTAGCTACCTCACCCTTTCTTTCATGCTAATTAAATGTGCGCTCTGTAACACACATGATCCTATTTTCCATATAAAATGCTTCTAAGACCCCCCAAACTTCAAAGCAGATGGTTCTGGCCTCTGTGCTCAGAGCTCCCTTGGGGTGGGCTAGGGGGAGGCGGGATGTTTCTCTTCTCACTTGCATTCTGTGAACATGTTGCTTGGGTTTGAAGTAACATTTTTTTTTCAGCCCCTCATTTTAAAAATTAGGTGGGTCCACTTGAAGTTTTGTCTGTAAATACAGGGGCTTACCTTTGAGCATTGCCTCTAGGCTGTGGCCTATTTGGCTGCAATAAAATGCTATTACCCAGGGCTTCATTCTGCCTTAAATTCAGGCTAGGGGCTGCTCCCACCCCCACCTCCACGATGGGTCCTCCGCTTGCACCCGCCTGCACTGCCCAGGTGCTGGGCCCCTCGCCTGCTCCTGCAGCCCGTTGCCCCGGGGGTGCAGGTGCCCAGAGGACCCAGCCACTTAGCCGAGTCTCTGGAGAAAGATGGTTCCACCTGCTTTGGCTGTCAGTATAAGTGACACCTTGGCTCGGTGCTTATGAAGGCCCTTGCTGGCGGGCCCTGCAGACCAATTCCCCAGAGTTAACTTCCTGTGATCCGTACTTTCCAGACTAAACAGCTTACCACCTACCAGAATATTTTGGTTCCTCAGATTGGGTGCAAAATTATTTTAAATGTATCAGTTTGAAAATCTTAATGCTTTGCCTTGTGTTTATTGGAAAATCAGTATGTGGGGTTTAAAAGGAGCATCTCCCAGCTGGAGCGCTAACCACGGCTTGGAAGGAGTGGCTCTTTGGCATTTTTCAGCCTCTTTCGGCTCCTAGGCTAATTAAGGAGGAACTTTGATTTGTGGTCCTGTTTGTGAGTGAAGCTTTAATGTAGTCTTTTATTCATATCAGGGATATATTTTTTTTTAATGCAACCCTGAAAAAATAGAGTTAGTCCTGAGAAGCTGAGAAGAAGACATACTTTGGGTATGTTAACAAGTAAGCAAACATGGATGGAATTTCAGAGAAGAGCCAGAGGACTGTGGTCTTGCTAGCGCTTCAGAGAAGCTGGGCTTTGGGGCCCACTGATTTCTGTGCACATGAGGGAGATTCACCTTGGTTTGGATTTTTCTAAAGGTGAGGGGGATGTGGGTACCTCTGCATCCCCCATGGGCACAGGCCACCACCAGACTTTGAGATTTCTTCTTTATTTCCAAAAGGAAATGCCACCACTAAGAACTCACCCATCAGGGCACTGCTTTAGAGGAGGAGGGGGAGCAGGGATCCGACCTCAGGACCCTGGCACGTCTGCTCTGGATGAGCTGCAGAGGCATCATCTCTCCCTCATTTCCTCTTAGGTACAGACTCCACAGCTCCATGTCTCAGTTGAGGAAACTGAGGCTCAGAGGAGGCTGGGGGATGACAGAGGACTGGGAGTGATCCTCCAAGATCCTCGTCTGGGGTCTTGACAAAAATGGCAGTTCTCCATGTGACTGTGTTGTAGAGAACGTGCCAGTCAAACAGTCGTACCTCATGAAGGCTGTTTGTCAGTGAGGCCAGGTGGACGCGGCATGAGGGCTGGTGGGTGTATGGTCCTGTTTTGAGGAGAGGCTGCCGGCCAGGTGGGTGCATGGGCGAGAGTCCTGAGCACTGCCCCCTAGACTGGAAGGGCCTGCCGCGGGGGCTTGGGGGCGAGGCAGTGCTGCAGGAGGCCCACCGGCCACCCAGGAGGGTTGTGCCCTAGGGGCTGTTAGCACGGAGGGCAGGGGATTCATCCCTGGGCCGGCTGCCTTGGGCTGGAGCCTCCCCTCTGGGGTCCAGGGGTCTCCCCTCTGGGGTTCAGGGGCCTCTCCGGCTGCCACCGGCTCCGGGGCTCTGGGAATGTGGCTGCTGTGGGAGGACCACGGGCTTGTGGGGAGAACTGGGAAATCTGAGGTTTTAGTCGCCCTCTCACCCTTTTCGCTGTTCGCTCTGGTTCTTGACTGCCAGTGTCATGCCTGTGTTTGGCAGTTTGCCACCTGCTTTGGGCTGTCTTCTCACGCAGCCCGACTGGAGGAAGTCAGGCACAAAGTGGCCTTTGAAACCGAGAGTATATCAGACAGCAGTTCTTGCACCAGGGTCCTGGGCAGAAGCCGCAAGGGCTGAGATCCCCAAGGCTGCTGTCCTCCCGCGCCCTGCGCCTAGGCCTCGGGCTCCTGGGGTGGAAGGACGGGTGTCAGACGGGAGCATTCGGCTGCCTGGTGCTTGGCCTTCAGGAGGGGCTTTTGTGGCCCGTCGGGGGGCAGGGGTGAGGCCTGTTTGTGGAGCCCTGCTGCCCAGGCATTCCTGTCACACACATTCAGTTACACTCCCCGCCCGGGGGAGGGAGCTCTCAATGCGCCATAGCATCTGCCCTCCAGTCCTGCCCACGGGACGCGTGTGGCCCACACCCATGCTTTTCCCTGGTGGGCTCAGCTCTTGCAGGTGCCCACGTACGTGAGTGTCCTTCCACCCTGGGGGAGGCCAAGCCCCTGAGTACACGTGAGCAGGTGAGCAGCTCACCTTGGATTGGCAGCCCAGCCAGTACGTGTTCTGTGGGCTGGTGGGAGTGACATCACCGACAGTGGGCTTGCTGCTTCCAGACAAGCCTGGCATGGGCCCATGGACCGTAGCGCATGGTCACTAAAGGAACTGTCAAGGGTAAATGGAATTACAGTTGGACACATCTTCTTAATGACTTTAGAAACTCAGCATTCATGTTCCTCTTACAGTGTAGTCCCATTGCTCCTCAGTTCCCCTGGCAAGCTCTTCAGGACTGGAGACAGACAGACAGACAGACACACACACACACACACACACACACACACACACACACACACCCCTCTCTGCTGGCAAATTCTAGCTCTACTTGATTGAGATGCCTGCTAGCCTAAGAGAGACACTGACCAGCCAGGTTACTTAATCTGAATTTCAGTTTCCTTATCCTTATTTTAAAAGGATAATAATTATTGCCACATAGAGTAGTCGTGAAGCTTCAAGGAGGTGGTGAAGCCTCCAGGAATGCGTGACAGCCAGAAAGTGCCATGTGGGTACCAGCGACCCCATCCTCACTCTGTCCAGGGGAGCGCCAGCGGCCCAGGGAGGGGACACCACTGACCACCTCTGGTCTCCTGTGTCTGGTGAGACAGAACGTTCCTTCTCAAGGTTCACTGTGCCCTTGATAACTGCCGGGCTCGGAATGAGCCGGAGAAGTGCGTGAGGGCATTCAGACAGGGTGCCAGAAAGGGGTGCTGAAAAGGTGCCTTAGATGTAACAAACCTCAGCCCTCAGTCCGTTTCTCAGAGCCTTGAGAGCCCGGATGAGCCTCTGGTAAAGGGAAATGCTGCATCTTGACACTGAGGCAGTCCTGCGGTGTCCAGCCAGGTAAGCCCCAGCAAGGGCTGGCTTTCAGCCCTGGGTGGGCACCTGCGTGCAGTGGACGAACCACACAGCAGCCCTGAGGACTGGGGCATTTTGGCTGTGGTCACATTAACCTTTGAGAATTTGATGAAAACTGTGGCCCTTAAACCCTATACTTTCACATTGTTTGCAGAGGATTAGTACCTCTCCAGGCCTAATGCTTGGATCCTAGGTTGGAGAACCCCTGATGGGCAGGTAAGTGGGCTGTGAGTGTTGAGCTTCCACTTGTGATAGATGTCACCCGCAGGTTGCTGATGGCAGTTGTACAGTCTGATTTCTCTAACCTCATGAGAGCCATTGAGGTCATCTCTGCTACTCTCAGGATAAAGGCAAAACTCTTAACATACACTGTGTCAAAGTTTAAAAGACAGGGTCTGGTCCCTGCTTACCAGGCCAGCCTCCACGTCTGCCCACACTACCGCCCTGTCTGCAGGTGGGCCCTCTGCTCAGCCCCTGTGTGCTCACCACAGGGCCTTTGTACATGCTCTTCCCCTGCCTGGAATGCTTTTCCATCCCCCTGTACCTATTCAGGTCTTACCCAGCTCAAGCATCTCTTCTTTAGGGAAATTTCTCTTTCTAGGTTGACTCCTGTTGGAAGCCTCTATGGCCCCTCTCCCTCCCACCTTTGTCACGGTTACAAGTTTTCGTTTGCCTGGTAATTAATTATTGACCACCTTTCTGTGCTCCTTGAGGGCAGAAAGTGGACCTGTTTGGGTCACTCTGGTCATTCTCAGTGCCTTGCACAGAGTAGAGCCACACAGTCGGTAAGTCCATGGCCAACGAACAGCTGACCTGCCCAGGGCAGGGAGACAGGACATCCGTTGCCGGAGGCTGCTTGGTTCCTCGTTCTCTTGTCTCTTGACCCCCAGTGGCCCTTTGTCGTGTCTGTGCACCTAACCCCACTCCTCTCTCCCTGGAGGTGTGCTGAGGCTCCTGGAACACGGGGAGGAGTACGTGTTCACCCTGCCGAGTGCCTACGCTCGCTCCATTCTCACTGTCCCGTGGGTGGAGCTTGGAGGAAAAGTCAGCGTCGCCTGTGCCAAGACGGGGTACACAGCAACGGTGACATTCCACACGAAGCCTTTTTACGGAGGGAAAGTCCACAGGTAGGAGGCGGCCAGGGAGGCGCCGTCCGTGTCTTATCAGGAGGCCCTGAGTGTCTTTTCTCCACTAGAAGGTTGGGTCCAGCCATGGGATGAGTTGAAAATCAAGATAAAGCTAACTGACCTTTGTCAGAAGGGGTGCCTCTTGGCCCCCTCATGTCTGTCTACACTCACAGTGAAACCCTTTGGGATGTGTTCACAGAACACGCACCAGAGAGTGAAAGGTGCTTCTGTTTGTTGAGATAAACTTAGCTTTCCGAGGCTGTAGCATGAAGCAGCTGGACCGGTGGGCTCGGACGCTGCCTGACACTTCCCTATTCTGGGCCAAGTTGGCTTCATTAAATATCCCGAATCCTGTATCATCTGTGAGAGTAGAGCCATGTCCTTTGGAAGCTGGGGAAGCCGGGTCCTAAGAAATTTCAGGAGACCTCTGCCGTGTGAGGGAAGCCATCAGTTGTTCTTATTGCTCCAGTTACCAGAGCTGTTCCCCTGGAGCAGATCACTGTGTGAGCACGTTCCCTTCTTTGCCCCGTTCTGGGAACGTGTTTTTCTGTATGGCATTCACCTGAGAGTGCGAGCGGGTCACTGGGCAAGTGGCCATTTGGAGCCCTTCCCACCAGCCCCATGTCCCTCCCCTGTGTTGGGAGCCTGAAATCCCAACTGGTACTGGGGCACCGCAGGAATCGGCGAGTGCTGCAAGCTGCTGCTTCCCTTCTGAAGAGCCAGTTCGCCCCTCACCAGCACACCACGAGCGCCTTCCCCTGGGTATGGCTTGGAAAGTTCCTGGTGCTGCCCATGGACCGTTGCCTCCCCACCTAGGAACCGGGGCTGTTTTCAGGCTCTGGGAGAAAGCTTCCATGCCTATGTTTGAAAACCCTACATCCAGCCTAAGCTGGCCATTAGAAAGAGGGGAGCTTTGCTCCTACACTGGGCTGCTTTGGAGCAGGCTTCCCTGTTCCTGCCATGCTACTCTGGGTCTGCAGCCAGTGTCAGGGTGGAGACAGAGAGTGGGTATGTGTTCACCCCGAGCGAGAGACCTCAGGCCTGACAGGAGAAGCGGGAGGCCGCACAAAGGCCCTTGTGAGGCCAGGTTGGAGGTGGTCCCTTGGAGTGGCTGCTGTGAGTGGGACAGTGTTCATGCAAGGCCGAGAGTCTCAATTTTGCTCAGCCTTGGCTCAAAGGAACATGCAGTTGCTGGGATGAGCATCCCCACCCCCACTCCTACCCCTTTGCAGTGTGACCATGGTGGACTGTGAGCAGCTGTCTACAGGCTGACTTGACTCACTTGAGGATTGAAAAGTTACCCCTCGACTCATGTACCCTTTTGGTGGCTAAATGTAGTGCTGTTGAATGCCACAGCAGGAGGGGAAGGGTGGATTCTGTTTCCACTGAATTGCTTGATTTCAACTCTAGTAGAAACACTTTCTATAAGCTTTTGTGTGTTTACCAAAACTAAGAGATCAACACGGCTGTATTACTATTAACTGACCTCCAGACATTTCTCATATCTCACTAGTTTTTCCACCAATGCTTTTGTTTTCTGTTTAAGGATATTAGATCCTGTTTTAATAGCTAATCTTTGAGCAAAACTTCAAAGAATGATCCCTCCTGCCAGCCATTCCACAAAGAAATCTCTAAATGCAAATCCACCTTCTGAAGTTAGTCTGTTTCTGTAATTGTGTGAAGTGTGTTCATTTGAATCCTTCACTCTCAGGGTCACAGCAGAAGTGAAGCACAATCCAAGCAACACCATTGTTTGTAAAGCCCACGGGGAGTGGAACGGTACCTTGGAATTCACCTACAGCAACGGGGAGACCAGGGTCATTGACACGACTGCGCTGCTGGCATATCCGAAGAGAATCAGACCTCTGGAGAAGCAGGGGCCCTTGGAGTCCAGGTGGGAGCCAGACCGGGAGTCCCTCGGTGTCGCTGTCCTCAGCACTTGACTCGGGGCAGAGAGGAAGCCTTTGCAAGCTCTGCGAATGGTGGTGTCCAGGTGTCGTGTTGTCCTTTTTTTAGATACTTGAATTTTCCTTTATCACTTCAGATTATTGATCCTTTGCAGATTTCAGTTTACTTTATCCACAGTTAGGGCTGGGCTGTGACGATAGTCCACAGCCGACTTTAATGCCTGTCCTCAAGGAGTTTATCAACTTAGTAGCTGGTCTGTTGCTTAATTGCTGAGTTAAATACAGAGAGTTGCCTGTAACCAAAGGGCTATGCAGGGCAGCAAGGAGAGGCTTTCGTTTTTCCTTAGTGGATGACAACACAATTAAAAAACAAATTTGATGCCTGCAGGGTGTAATAAAAGTGACACTGTCTACCCTGTGCTCATAGTGGGGATATGTGCAGTTTAGCTGCACGGATCAGAAGCTTTAAGTTCGTGGATTCACTTTAACATTGTGTTCCACTTCTGGGAATCTGTTCTAAGGGAAAATTCTTAAATTCAGAAAAGGTTTTAAATATAAAATTTGGGTATTTTTTTTTTAAAGAAGAAAATGAAACAAACAAAAAGAAGAAAGAGAACCCACCTAACTTTCCCACAATAGGAAAACAGTTAAATAAATGCTGGGCCCCCGCTCAGTTTGCATGTGCACTCATATGAATAGGCTGCAGCCACTTCATGTGATCTTTACACAGGCACAGAAGCAGAATCTTTTTGGAATATGCCTTTTTTATTCTTTAATCCAGGAGGTCAGGAAACTATAGCCCCCATGGGCCAAAATCCAGCCTGTGGCTGATTTTTATGAAGTTTTCTGGGAATGCAGTGTGACCATTTGTTCACATGCTGTGCGTCCCTGCTACGAGGGCAGTTAAGTAGTTGACCTGCAAAGGCAACATGTTTAGTGTCTGGCCCTTTACAGAAAATGTTTTCTGATTCCTGCTTCTATCCAAAAGCTTGCTGCTTTTTTAACGATGTACAGTTTGAAGTGAAATTACAGGTGATTCTGTAAAAGGGTTTGTTATTACAGGAAGAGTTTGTAGCCAAATGGAAAAGGTGCTGACTATGGGGAAACAAGGTAGGGGTACAACAGTGTGTCTAAATGATACATTGTAACTGAGCTTCATAAACATAAGGCTTCCGTATCTCCGGCAACTTTGCTTTGCTGTAGGGTTAGTGTGCTTTCTTGTTGATCTGTTTATTCAGTAACCTTCTCGGTGTCCAAAGGGAGGGCATGACCTCTTGCCTGTTGGCATTTCCACCCTGCCTGTTGGGTTTTAGTAGCTGGATGAGGACAGGCCGCGACAGGAGAGAGACGGGGATGGATCTCTGTCTCCTGCCACAGCCTTAGAGAGCCCCTGGGAACTCAGAACTCAGCCTGGAGTGGGGATGGAGTCTGGTACCCACGTGAGAGTCTTGCATATGCAGACTCTGCTGAAACATGGAGAAGACTAGGGAAACTGAGCCCAGTCCACCTTATTCTCTACAGAGGAAAAGCCCTGGGAGGTGGAGTGGCTGGTCCAGGGGCCCCCTGGCTGCTCAGAGCATTGAGCCCACTCACCTTGCTGGGTCTGCAGGCCTTACCCGCACAGGTGAAGGAGGGACCATCTGCATGGCTGGGGGGCCAGTCGTTAGACCAAGTGTGGTTGGCCTCACGGTGGCGCTATCCCTGGGGAGGCCTCTGGTCCCCAGCTGACCCCTGGGAAGGGAACCACTGCCCCATTAGGGGTAGCGTGAAGGTATTTTACTGTTTGTCCACACTGTAAATCTGTCCGGGCTGTCAGGGTTGGTTTGAGCAGGTACCCTGCCTTGGCCAGACCCCCAGGGCGCTGTGATGCCAGCCGCACCTGCCTCGGCCACTCGCCGGGATAGCGTCATGGCCTCAGAGAGGACTCGCCGTGGCTTCCTCTCTGCTTTGCTTTGCTCCACCCTCTGCACTCGGAAGGCTCCTGACCTTTGCGCTTTTCCCTTTAGCCTGAGGTCGGAGCCTTCCTTGGACAAGCCCGCAGCCTTGGTGGCTCTCCTGGTTGGTTGCCATGTGTATGTGTGTGTGTGTGGGTAGAACTCTTCGTCTGCACCAATTCTTATCACACTACCGCCTCTCCAGTCCTTGGGGGTCTCTGCCCTCTGATCATGGGGCCACCAGCTTAGGATGCAATCTTTCCCAGGAGCCCCTGAGCGTGAGAGCACCCCTGCCCGGCTGTGCCATGCCCAGCTGTGAGCAGCGGGTGCGGGAGGTGCTGAAGACCTGACCCCAGCCCTGTCCTTCCATCACCTCACTTCAGTTAGCCAGCCTTCTGTCAGGGTGCAGTAGAAAGGGCGAGCGCTGGGAGGGCAGCGGGGCCTGGCTGTTCCCCCTCTCAGAGGTTCCTCCCGCTGTAAGTTGGGGCCATCGCTCCCTGGGTCTCTGCGGGGGACTCAGCGGGCCCAGTGAGCAGGCTGAGCTTGCCGCAGGAGCTTGACCCTTGCTGGTACCTGGGTTCTGACCCCTTCAGAAGGGGCTGCTTGTTACCCCCGCTCTGCTGGCGGCCCTGTCTGCCCTTTCTGGGCCCGATGTGCCGACACCCAAGGTTTCCTGCTGTGTGGGGCCCTCACGGACAGGCCTGGGGTGCTGTGCTGTGGGGGTGCTCCCTGACCTGGGTGTGAGTACCCCTTGCTGCAGAGGCATCATTCCCCTGGGGCCACGGAGGGAGTGCTCACCGCCCAGGATCTGATGGCTCCTTTCATGTGGACCGTGGACTGCTCCTGATGCATTTCAGTGAGGAAGTGCACGTGGCTCGCCCTCTAGAACAGAGTATGTGTGAGTCGGGATGGTCCTGGGCATTCCTTGGGGGGAGAGCGGCCAGCAGACAGCAGCCCACCGAGGCCTCCTTCCACAGCAAGTGGAGGAGGCAGGGAGGGATGTGGGGAGATGGCAGATGCTGCAGGAGACACACGAGCTGGCCCACCCCAGTCTGATCCTGACCTGCAGTTCCCTGAGGGAATCGCTCACATTTATCAGCTTGCTAATGTTGGCCAAGTCACTTCACCTTAAATGGGTCTTATTTTTTCCTCTTTAAAATGGGGATGATGATACATAGCATCTATGTCACTGGGCCATGGTGATGATTAGCTGAGCTGATATATAGTAACATGCTTAAAGATGACTGCACACACCGTGTCGTGTCTGCTGTTATTGTTGTTTGTAGAGGTAGTAGTATCGCTGCTGAGACTCAGTCCCTGGACGCTTGGAGCCTGAGAGGCATGTTGCCCAGGACAGTGGAAGAGGGGACACTTGGAGCCTGGGAGCCCTGGGTTCAAATCCTACCTCTAGGGGTCTTGGAGGCCCCAGATGCCCTTCCCTGCGGCAGCCCCTCCTTGCCGAGGACTGCTGTCCTCAAGCTGGCTGCTCTGACCTGACCGCTTCCTGTCTTCCATGCATCCCCAGGAAGCTCTGGCGGGAGGTGACGCGACACCTGCGGCTGGGGGACATCGACGCTGCCACTGAGCAGAAGCGGTGCCTAGAGGAGAAGCAGCGGGTGGAGGAACGGAAGCGGGAGAACCTCCGCACACCGTGGCAGCCCAAGTATTTTATCCAGGAGGTAACTGCCACGGTCGCTGGCTGCTTGTCCTGAGTGAGGGCCAGAGGGGTTTGTTCCGGCTAATGCAGTAGTTCGGGTGAATGAGGATGGGGTGCAGGAGGTCCTGGGAAGGTTTGGGGTGGCTTGGCAGTGGCTCCAGCTTTGGGCCAGGCTGTCCTGTGGGTGGAGCCGAGCACCTGGCTCTTCTCCTCTGGCTCCTGCCTCAGAGAAGCCCCTCAGCCACCAGGAAGGGCAAGGATGGGACTGCGGGTCCAGATGCTGTCCTACTTAAAAGGCAACAACAACAAAAAGAAAATTGCCACAACCCCTGCTACTCTGTCATTAGTAAGAAATTAGTTGTGAAGCACCTCACAGCCTGCCTCCAATTGGGTGGGCTGGACCTTCCCGATGGTGAACCACCCTTTCAGAGCTTTGCCTCCTGTGGGCCAAATGGGATGGACATGCCAGCAAAGGTCAGCATAAGTCCTGTGCTTAAAATGCTGCCGTCATCCAGGAGGGTGACATTGCAAAGTAGAAATGAAACCCACATGACTGTCCACCCACGGGGCAAGTGGGAAAGGCACTGTGTGCTCAGTTGAGATATTTAGGTTTTTTTAATTTTTAAATTTTTATTTATTTATTTTGACCCTAAGGTTTTTAAAGTTGTTTGTGGAGCAACTGGAAAGCATTCTGAGAAATGAATTGGAAATAATGAAAGTATAGGAGCCACAATTTTTTAAGGCAGGTCCTCAGGAGCCTGGCAGCATCAAAACAAACAGGCCGGTGAGGACTGGGGCCAACCCAGGAATCCATATCTAAAGGGGGTGGATGCTGCCTACCTCCAGGTATCATAGACTCTCTAATTCTTCATTAGAAGCCAGAAATCTGATATTCCCATGACATCAAGGAATTCTAAAGAGTTCAGACACTGTGAGCCAATTGAAATATGTCTGGGCTTTGGCCGAGGGGCTGCTAGTCTTCTGGGTAAGCCAGTGACCTTGAGATGGACTTACGGTTCGGAGCAGGAAGCAGCCACTGTTCTGGGGATAACAGAGGCAGGAGCTAGGGTTGTGGGTTGAACGGAGACTTTGAAGTCGGTTTGGTTCAGACAGGAAGCAGCATGGGGAGACTCTGCCCTGAGAGACTCTGAGTGGGAGCCCAGTCTGGAGGCCTGCCCAGGTGAGGCGATGCTGTCTGAGGGTTCTCGGAGAAACAGAACCAATAGGAGATGTAAATACATGTAGATTAATTATGAGGAATTGGCTTGTGAGATTATGGAGGCCGAAAAGCCTCAGGATCTGCTGTTTGCAAGCTGGATGACCCAGGGAAGCTGGTGGTTGTATGAAGGCCTGAGATGCAGGGGTGCCGATGGTGTAAATCCCAGTCCAAGGGTAGGAGAAGATGAATCTCTGAGGACGGGGCAATGCTCACTCACATGAGGAGGGATATCTTTTTAACTGAGTCCACCAGTTCAAATGCTAATCTCAGAAGCAGTCTGAAATAATGTTTCATCTGGGCACCCCATGGCCAGTCAAACTGACATAAAAACCATCACAAAAATTCTTCAAGGATCCTTCTGTGAGGTGGATCTGGTCCCTCTGAGACACCTAGTTTGCCAGGCTTTTGTGGAAAGTTGCACATTAAAAACAAAATGACAGCAATAAAATAACCGATAGAGTTCTTCCCCCTGGGTTTAATAAAAGCCAGTATGTTCTTAACAGAAGGTCTGAGGATATGTAAAGAGTACAAACCACCCCAACACCAGAATTGTTGGCGCTCAGGGTCCCCTGGCCTGGCACCCAGTTGTGCACACTGCTCTGAGTCTTGCCTCTTTCTCACTGCTGGTGGCTTGGTGTCATTTCCCGTGTGTGCTGAGTGGTCTGTGACTGTGGCCCGCTGATGGGGCCTTCATCAGGCCTTCCCCTTCAGGCTGGTGGCTGTCAGGCACTGGTCTGCACAAATTCCTCACTGGCAGGCCCCTACTTTTTCTACTGTCTGTTCATCCAGCTACCCTCTTTTTAATTCTGTCCTGCTGTTTCAAAGAGCTTTTTTTGGCTAACCAGTGTTCCTTGATGTAAATCATAAATCAACAAAGCCCCCCTTCTTTTGTCATATTGTGGTTTTTCCTGTTGAAATGCCAAGATGTGAAGATAATAAGAGCTTCGAAAAGCAGCTGGGCTGAGGGTGAGCCCACCAGCTTGGCATGGCTGTGAGGTAACAGGAACAAGGCAGACACACAGCCTGGTGGCAGCAGTGAGCATGTTAGTGGAGCTCTGCGTGGTACCCAGCTTCCAACCTAGCAGAGGCTGGGGACCATCCTTCTTTTTCCTGTTTCCCTGCCGAGAAGCCTCCATGTAATGTCTCCTTCCTTCTCTTACAGGGTGACGGCTGGGTGTACTTCAATCCCCTTTGGAAGGCACACTGACCTGGTGGAGGTGCGGAGCTCTCAGAGCCCTGTTTTTGTAGGAATCCAAGAGGAACAGTATTAAGGTTCTGCTGGTATTCACTGAGACGTCTTGATAGCATTCAAGAAATGGCACTTGAGAGAGAAATTACATACTGTGAAAAATGCACCCCCTAATTCTACCATTGGGTTGAATTTATTCAAGAGCCATTTGGGGCATGTGTGTGTGCATACGTCTGTGTGTGAGCTCTCGGCACACTGTACGTCCACGCACGTGCACTACATGTACATGTCTGCTAGGTGTTATTACATGTAAATACAGCACTTACCAAGATTTAAGTGGGTCATTATGAGCTCCTTTTTATCAATAAGGTTTGAAGTTTTCTATTTTTCACTTTGCCAAAAATGTTTTGCACTCACCAGGGTGTTCTCACATGGCCAACTCCCATCGAAACAGAGGTGAAGTGGCACAGCCTCGTGGACATCCACGGGGTAGAAAGCGGCTCAATCCTGGTAAAGCGTAGGTGGCTGTCATTCCATAAGGACTGTTGTGATTCCCGCCTCCCTCCCCTCTTCAACATTTCATTTTTCTATACTCAAGGAGAAACTGCTGTTTGCTACTGAGCGGAGAGTGGGCAGGAAGCGGTTACAGATTGATGTCAGAGCCTTCCAGGACTGAGCACCTCTGGGAGAACTGAGAGCCAGGTGCACCTTGGCGTTTTCCTCCCATCTACTTGCCCCAGATCCTTTCATGCTCAACATGCTAGTCATACATGTTTTTCAAAAGCTGCTGCTTTTACAGTAGAGAAATCATATGGAGACTTCACTACTTACGTGATTAGAAAAGGGCTTTTAGAAATTTAATACACGCATATATATACAAACATGCACAGCCACAGCCTCAATTTTGTATGTAGTTTGGGGAAAGAGAAAAGAATTTCCTGTGGAATTTTTTTTTTTTAAGTGCAGCTCTTGTTTGACCCAAACTGCAAGAAAATCACTGTGATTGAAACATACATAAAACCTGACAAGTGTCCATGGTTTCAGTTGAATTTCAGTCCTCAATCTATACAAATGAAGTCAAGATATGACTAGAATATAAAGCAAGGAAAAAAAGAGGTATTTGATTTTTGGCTCCATGCTTAATTTATTTTTTACTGTGCCACTCTAATGAAAATATTTATAAAATCCAGTAGCATGAATGCTTCTCTGTTAGTAATACTAATTTTGTGCCTTTTGTCTGCTTTCTTAAGACCAATTGTTCACACTTTGTAGATATTAGATAAATATATTTCGAAGAAATATTATACCTATCCGTGTGTTTTATTTTTAGAGGAGATTCAAAACTTCTGTTGGAGTTGGTGGCTCTGAATGAGCGCAAGCCTCATTGGTTAGATATTGTTAATTTGAAGTGAATAGGAATCATTTACATCAAACTTTTAAAATACACTACAAAAGCTACTAGATAAATATTACTCTGAATATTTTCTGACAAGTTCCTAAGAACATTTAACTCATATCAAGTGAATGTTTATGAGAAGTTGTTACCGGGCAGTCAGAATGTAGACTGATTCAGGTCCATAGTCTTAAAACATCTGGGAGAATAAAGTGTTGGAAGCATTTATATTTCTGAGAGAGAAAGCAAAATAGATTCTAATCTGAGAAAGAAAATCCTCAGTGAGAAGACTGAAAAGTAATTACTGGGGTGATTCCAGATTTTCCATTTTTACCCAAAAGTAAAGTATAAACTGTCTGGGAAGTAAAACATGGGGAAGGTTCACTTTTAAAAATTTTATTTTTGGTGGTGGGATTCATTTTTCCTTTTAAAAAATTATGAAAGGTTACAGAGGAGATTGAAACATATTACACTTCCAAGAGTAATTGTAAATACCCACGTACCCACTGCTTAAGTAAAGAAACCTGTTACGACCTTAAAAGCCACCTTTGTGTCCCTGCAAAATTGTGTCCCCCTCCTTGACCCCTGAGGTAACACTATACTGTCCTGACTCCCTGGGTAATCATCTTCTTGAGTGTTTAACTTATGTGTGTATTTCTGAAGAGCATGCTTGTTTTGGGTATTTATGGCCTTTGTACACGTGGAATCATACCACAGTTTACTTACATGAGCTAACATTTTGGCCATAGGTCAACCCATGTTGTTAGGACTTGCTTTATTTGTTCATTTGCTTATTCTTTTTCCTGAGTTCACATTTTATTAAGTAACTCTTTTACTGTGATAAAATATATATATAACATAAAATTTGCCATTTTAAAGTGTACAGTTCAGTGGCATTAAATACATTCACATTATTGTGTAACCATCATGTCCGCCTCCATAGTTTCCATCTTCCCAAACTAAAACTGTACACATTAAATGACTCCTCATCTTCCCTTCCCTCACCCCCTGCCACAACCCTTAGCAATCACCATTCTACTTTGTTTTTATAAATTTGCCTATGCTAAGTACCTCATGTAAGTGGAGTCATGCTAGTTTTTTTGTGTCTGGCTTGTTTCACTTAGTGTAATGTATTCAAGGCTCATTAGAATTTTGTTCCTTTTTAAGCCTGAATAATATTCTATTGTGTGTGTGTGTATATTACCTTTTGTTTATGCATTTTCCTGTCTATGAACATTTGTGTTCTTTCTTGGCTATTGTGAAAATGTTGCTATGAATATGGGAATGCAAATATTTCTGAGTTCCGTGGATTCAAACCTTTCTTTATATATATAGGTTATATATGTAAGTGCAAGTGCTATTTAAGAATTCCATGTTTATGTTTTTGAGGATTTGCCATACTGTGGCTTCCACAGTGGCTATAACATTTTGCAATCCCAATAGTAATGCCCCAAAGGCTTGAAATTTCTCTACACCTTCCCCAGCACTTGTCATTTTGTTTTGGGTTTGTTTTTATGTTATCCTAATGGGTATGAAGTGCTGTCTCATTGTGGTCTTGATTTTTATTTTCCTAATGATCTGTGATATCAAGCATCCTCTTGTGGTTATAGGCCATTTGTGTATCTTCTTTGTAGCATTGTCTACTCATGTCCTTTGCCCATTTTCTAATTGTTTTTTAATAGGTTGAGTTATAGGAGTTCTTTATATATTCTAGATATTAATCCATTGTCAGGTATATAATTTGCAAATATATTCTCCTATTCTGTCAGTTGCCTTTTCACTAGTGATAGTGTCTTTAATGAGCAAAATATTTTAAGTTTGATGAAGTCCAGTTTGTCTACTTTTTCTGTTGTAGCTTGTGCTTTTGTTACATCCAAGAAATCATTGCTAAATCTAATTTCATGACACATGCCCCTATGTTTTCCTCTAAGAGTTTTAGTTCTTGTGAGTGGGTTTTTGATCCACCTTAATTTTTGTATATAGTGTTAGGTAAGGGTTCAGGTTTATTATTTTGCATATGGATATCCTGTTTTCCTAGGAACATTTATTGAAAAGACTCTCCTCATTGAATGGCCTTGGTACCCTTATCAAAAGTCATTTGACTATGCAAGAGTTTATTCCTGGGCTCTCTATTCTACAACACTGGTCTATGGCTATCTTTATGCCAGTCTCTTTTGATTACTGTTGCTTTGTAGTAAATTATGAAAACCGGAAGTGTGAGACTTTCAGTTTTTTAAAAAAAGATTGTTTTATTAGGGGTCCTTTGAGATTACATTTAAATTTTAGGATGGAATTTTCTTTATTTGCTAAAAACCTCATTGGATTTTTGATAGGCATTGCAGTGACTCTGTACGTCACCTCATATAGTATTGACATCTTAACAATACTGTCTTCCAGTCCATGAATAGAGGATGTCTTTCCATTTATTTATGTCATCTGCCATTTATTTCAGGGACTATTTCATAGTTTTCAGTGTACAAGCACACATTGTTTTGTTCCACTTAGAGGTACTGCATTTTTTTCTTCTTTTTTACAAATTGAAGGTTTGTGGCAACCCTGCATTGGGTAAACTATGCATCATTTTTCCAATAGCATTTGCTCACTGCATCACTGTTACATTCTGGTAATTCTTGCAATATTTTCATTATTATATTTGTTATGGTGATCTGTGATCAGTGATCTTTGTTACTTTTATAACAGATTTGGGGAGCCAGGAACCATGCCCATATAAAATGGTGAACTTAATAAACATGTGCATCCTGGCTGTTCCAGACTGGCCCTTTCCCCATCTCTTTTCCTCTCTCGGGCCTCCCTATTCTCTGGGACACAATAGTAAAATCAGGCCAGTTAATAACTGTGCCTCTAGGTGTTTAAATAAAAGGAAGAGTAGCATGTCTCTCACTTTAAAAGCTAGAAATGATTAAGCTTAGTGAGGAAGGCATGCTGAAGGCCAATTTAGGCTGAAAGCTCTAGGCCTCTTGTGCCAGTTAGCCCAGTTGTGAATGCAAAGGAAACCTTCTTGAAGGAAATTAAATGTTCTATTCCAGTGAACACATGAATGATAAGAGAGCAAAACAGCCTCATTGCTGATGGGGAGAAAGTTGTAGTGGACTGGATAGAAGATCAGACCAGCCACAAAATTTCCTAGTCCAAGGCCTAATCCAGAGAAAAGCCCTAACTCTCTTCAATTCTGAGAAAGCCGAGAGGTGAGGTAGCTGCAGAAAAGTTTAAAGCCAGCAGAGGTTGGTTCATGAGGTTTAAGTAAAGAAGCCATTTCCATAACAGGAAAGTGCCAGGTGAAGCAGCAAGTGCTGATGTAGAAGCTATTGCAAGTTATCCAGGAGATCTAGCTCAGATCATTAATGAAAATAGCCATAGTAAACAAGATATTCTCGGTGTAGACAAAACAACCTTATATTGGAAGAAGATGCCATCTCAGACTTGGATAGCTAGAGAAGCCAGTGCCTGATTTTAAAGGACAAGCTGACTCTTGTTTAGGGGCTAATGCAGCTGGTCATTTTAAGTTGAAGCCAGTGCTCATTTGCCATTCCAAAAATCCTAGGGCTCTCTGAACAGACAGTTCTCCAAAGAAATTCAGATGGCCAACAGGCACATGAAAAGATGCTCCACATCGCTAATCATCAAGAGAAATGCAAATTAAAACCACAATGAGATATCACCTCACACCAATATGGATGGCCACCATCCAAAAGACAAATAACAACAAATGCTGGCGAGGATGTGGAGAAAGGGGAACCCTCCTACACTCCTGGTGGGAATGTAAACTAGTTCAACCACTGTGGAAGGCAGTATGGAGGTTCCTCAAAAAACTAAAAATAGAAATACCATTTGACCCAGGAATTCCACTCGTAGGAATTTATCCTAAGAATGCAGCAGCCCAGTTTGAAAAAGACAGATGCACCCCAATGTTTATCACAGCACTATTTACAATAGCCAAGAAATGGAAGTGACCTAGGTGTCTGTCAGTAGATGAATGGATAAAGAAGATGTGGTACATATACACAATGGGATATTATTCAGCCATAAGAAAACAAATCCTACCATTTGCAACAACATGGATGGAGCTGGAGGGTATTATGCTCAGTGAAATAAGCCAGGTGGAAAAAGACAAGTACCAAATGATTTCACTCATCTGTGGAGTATAAGAACAAAGAAAAACTGAAGGAACAAAACAGCAGAATCACAGAACCCAAGAATGGACTAACAGTTACCAAAGGGAAAGGGACTGGGGAGGATGGGTGGGAAGGGAGGGATAAGGGGAAAAAAGGAGGGCATTACTATTAGCAGACATAATGTAGGGGGGCATGGGGAGGGCTGTGCAACACAGAGAAGATAAGTAGGAATTCCATAGCATCTTACTATGTTGATGGACAGTGACTGCAATGGGGTATGTGGGGGGGACTTAGTGATGGGGGGAGTCTAGTAAACAATGTTTCTCATGTAATTGTAGATTGATACATCGTCCCCCCCAAAAAAATACCCTAGGGCTCTTATGAATTGTGCTCAGTCTACTCTGCCTTGCTCTGTTAGTGGAAGAGTAAAGCCTAGGTGACAGCGTATCTGTTCACAGCATGGTGTGCTTGTATTTTAAGCTCACTGTTGAGATCTGCTCAGGGCACCCAAGAGCCCTGGAGGTATTCAAGAATTTTTTCATGGCTCTTAACGTGACATCCATTTTGCAGCTCATGGATCAAGGAGTCATTTTGATTCTCAATTCTTATTCTTTAAGAAATACTTTTTGTAAGGCTGTAGCTGCCATAGTGATTTCTCTGATGGATCTGGGCAAAGTAAATTAAGAACCTTCTGGAAAGGATTCACCATCCTAGATGCCAGTAAGAATATTCGTGATTCATGGGAAAAGATTAAAATAACACATTCACAGGAGTTTGC